TTGGAAGTTTGCTCTAATAGGACATGTTATTGGATTAAATGTTAAATTTAAATCCATGGAATCATATGTCAACAAGACTTGGGGGAAAATTTCTATTCCAAAAGTTTTCTTAATCAAACAAGGTGTCTTTCTCTTTGAATTTACTGCTGAAAAGCAGATGACTGAGGTATTAGAAGCTGGGCCTTGGTTTTTTGGTGCCAGACCTTTGATTTTAAAGCCATGGAAGATTGACACTGACATTGATAAGATTCAAGATTGTAGCTACCCAATGTGGGTTCAATTCCCAAATTTAAAACTAAATTTGTGGAGTTCCTCAGGTATTAGTAAGATTGCTAGTATTATTAGCAATCCCATCACTACGGATAAGCTTACTGCATTGAGACAGAGATTATCCTATGCTAGAGTCTTATTAGAAGTTGATTTGCCTCTAAAAGAGCCTCTGCCAGACCAGATTGTTATAAATAGGCCTGATGGAAAAAGTTATACACAAAAAGTGGTCTATGAGCTGAAGCCAAGGTGGTGTGCAAACTGTAAGATGGTGGGACATGATACTGAACACTGCAGAAGAAATGCTGTTAAGAAAATCTGGATTCAAAAATCAACAGGGAGCATACATGCACAAAAAAAATCAGAATATGCCTGGCACAGATAAACCTGTGCAAGTTGAACCTGAAATACATGCACAGAAAGATGTTGCATCAAATTCAGATAAAGGAAAAGCTCTGGCTGAACATACAGAAAGTCTTACCAGGCCTGAAAATGGGATATCTGTTCAACAAAGACCAGTTGCTGGTTGTGGAAGTCCTGGCATACTTGGCCTTGTTCAATCAAATATATCACCCACTATCAATGCCAGTGGTTTCACCAGTGTAAGCAGAAATAGCATTGCCAGAAGATCAAAAATGGATACTGGAGACAGCTCTGCACAGATACATATTTCACAATTCTCTCTGTTAGATCATCAGGATCATTTGTTTGACCCTTCAAATGTTGATAGGGGAAAACTTCAATAAATATGCATTTAGTTATCTGGAATGTTAGAGGATTGAACAAATCCTCTAAACAAATAATAGTGAAGCAAATAGTTCATGAATATAAACTTTCCTTCATTGCACTCCTGGAAACTAAAATCCCTAGCAGTAAAATGCATATTATTGCTAAGAAAATGACTAGAGATTGGGACTGGATTTCTAATGCTCAACATACAGATAGAGGAAGAATCTGGATACTTTGGGATAGTGATGTTTTATCTGTTCAATATATATCCTCCTCTGAGCAATTTATAACATGCAGTATCTCTTCAAAAGATGGCAGAATTTCTTACATTGCTACTATTGTGTATGCTCTAAATGACCACATTGGAAGGAGAACTCTATGGCATGATCTATCAGTGTTCAAGCAAAGTGTTAACTGTTCATGGATTGTAGGTGGTGATTTCAATGCTATCATTAGCAATCAAGAAAAACTTGATAGGGTTTTGGTTAATGAGGAGTGGATTCAAAAATTTACCTCCAGTCAAGTTGATTTTTTAGTGCCAAATTTTTCTGATCATTCCCCAGCTTTAGTGACCATTGGTGATGATGAAATTAATGAAGGAAAGAAACCATTCAAATTTTTTTCCATGTGGATTAAGCATCCTGAGTTCAACACAAAAGTTAAGACTGTTTGGGATCAAGATCTCAGGGGCTATTACATGTATAGACTGGTTACAAAGCTGAAAAATCTCAAACCAGTTTTAAAAGAGTTGAATAAAAGACATTTTATGAGTATCAGTGAGCAGGTTATAAGAGCCAAAGAAGAACTTTCTGTGATTCAACAGCACTTAGCCAATGCTCCTTTCAATTCTGAACTGATAGCAAAGGAGAAAACTTGTCTGAGTACCTGTGCCAGGTTGATTGATTTTGAAGCTTCTTTTTACAGGCAAAAAGCTAACATCAAATGGAGTCTTCATGGAGATAAATGCTCTAAATTCTTTCATTCTGTTATGAAGACAAAGAGACATCAAAATAGGATCCTGTCAATATATTCTGATAATGGAATAAGGCTTACTGATATGTCTGACATCACTATGGAATTCATTGCCTACTTCAAAAACCTCCTGGGATACACTGGTTCTTGTGCAGAGATTAATCATGATGTGATAGCTAAAGGGCCTGTTATCTCAACTGATCAAGCAAATAACCTGAGTGCACCTGTTTCAAGAGATGAGATTAAACAAGCACTATTCTCTATGGATAATGAAAAAGCTCCTGGTCCTGATGGCTACACTGCTCTTTTCTTCAAAGCATCCTGGAATCTGATCAAAGATGATCTTCTTCTTGCTGTTGAGGAATTTTTTAAATCTGGTAAACTTCTTGGAGCTCTAAATAGTACTTCTATTACTTTGGTTCCTAAGATCCTCAACCCCAAATCTCCTTCAGACTATAGACCTATATCTTGTTGCAATGTTGTTTATAAAATCATTTCAAAAGTCATTGCAACCAGAATTCAGGGGGTTATGGGTTATCTGATTAACGAGGCTCAAAGTGCCTTTGTTAAAGGAAGGGCTATATCTAGTAACATCCTTCTAGCTCATGAATTGATCAAGCACTATGGCAGGAAGTCCACAACTCCAAGAGCTATTCTTAACATTGACTTAAGGAAAGCTTTTGATACTATAAATTGGAAATTTATTGAAGATATGCTCACTGATTTAGCCTTTCCAAAGAACATGATTAACTGGATCATGCAGTGCATTAGTACTCCAAAATATTCCCTATCTTTAAATGGCACACTTCATGGCTATTTTGAGGGAGCTAGAGGTTTAAGACAAGGAGATCCTCTTTCCCCATACCTATTTGTTTTAGGAATGGAGTATCTTTCGAGAAGGCTATGCATGCTCAAAGAAGATAGACTGTTCAAATATCATCCAAAGTGTTCAAGGCTGAAAATTTCCCATCTCTTCTTTGTTGATGATCTGTTGCTTTTCTGCAAGGCTGATCTATACTCTATTGCAAAATTAAAAGAATGCCTTTCAGATTTCAGCTGTGTGTCTGGATTAGAAACAAATCCTAACAAATGTTCTATTTACATGAGTGGGATTGGAGATGATTTAAAAGCTCAAATTTGTGCTCTCCTTAATTTCTCTGAAGGAGTACTTCCTGTGAGATACTTAGGAGTACCACTAATCTCTAAGAGACTGTCTTATATGGACTGCTATCCATTGATCAATAAGATATCTACTCAGCTTCAAAACTGGCAAAAGAAGAAAGCTCTGTCTTATGCAGGAAGACTGCAGCTGATTAAAACTGTTATTCTGGGTGTTCAGCTCTATTGGACTAGCAATTATGTTCTCCCAATTAAAGTCCTGGAAAAAATTGATAATCTCTGTTCTGAATTCTTGTGGAATCACAAAATACATCTGATATCATGGACTGCAGCATGTCAAGATAAAGAGCATGGAGGTTTGGGGATTTTCTCTGCTAGAGCCTGGAATCTTGCAGCGGCTATGAAGCTCCTTTGGATGATACACCTCAAGAAGGATCTATTGTGGATCAAATGGATTCATGGGCATTATCTAAGGCAGTCAAACATCTGGCAAGTGCAAGTAAAATTGAATGATTCATGGATGTGGAAGCAAATGCTTAAAGTGAGAGATAAAATGATATCCAAGTTTGGAAATATCTCAAATGTGCTGAATATTATCACAAGGTGCTGTTCTGGAGGTAAATTTCAGATTTCTTCTATCTATAATGAAATCATACAGCAAAATGCACCTGTTGTTTGGTCTAGAACAGTCTGGGATGGATGGATGTATCCTAAGCACTCCTTTATACTTTGGCTTGCTATCCAATCTAGACTGTTAACAAAAGCCAGGTTGTGTCACTTGGGGATCCTCGACACTAACTCCTGTGTTCTATGCACTCATCAAAAGCATGAAACCATTGGGCATCTTTTCTTTGAATGTGAATTCTCTGCTATTATCTGGAACAGAACTATGGAATGGATGAATTTCAGGTGGAAAACTTGCAACTGGGAGCGTGTTATTCAATGGTATAGTGAAAAACTGAGAGGAAAGGGTTTCATGTTGAAGCTTAAGAGATTGGCACTGTCAGTTACAGTCTATGCTATATGGAAAGAAAGGAACCAAAGAATCTTTCAACATGAAGCAAAAGGAGCTGATTTTGTGTTCAAGACAGTGAAGTTTCTAATTCTGTCTAAAGTCCTAAATGATGATAGTCCTATCCACATAAAGGAAAGAATTGAGCAAATGTAAAAAAACACGATAGTTGTTTCTTCCAGTTATCATCCTATCCACATAAAGGAAAGAATTGAGCAAATGTAAAAAAACACGATAGTTGTTTCTTCCAGTTATCACTGGAATGTCTTTGATGTACATATATTTCACATTTTGGTTATGAATAAAAATTTTCATTGACCAAAAAAAAAAAAAAAATGAAGTTCTAAGATCCTAAATTTATGAAGCATGTATAATTATATTTCTACAGTAAAAATTTAATGAAACTTACATTGACATCAAATTCCATCCAAAACAACAAGCATTTTGTTATATGGTTCATTTTGTGAAAGTATATATAGAAGGATGAATTTTTAGGGTTCAACATATTTCATAGTCAATTATAACAAAAAATAAAATAAAAGATACTTCATAGTCATGTAGTACTTGGCACGCGACATGTCCTTTTTAAAAATTTAATCTTAAAATCCATTTTCCTCCATCTTTTTCTTTCTTTCTTCTCGTTTTTGCCCAAGTCGGTCTCGTTCTCCCCTTTTATTTGTCGTTGTTTAATCCAAACTTCTATTTTTTTTAGAGTATCCTGGATGTTAATTAGGATATTTTCATCCACGAATCTTTGGGCTTCACGCAGTTAGGGGCATTAAGTTAAAAATTCAAATGTTTTGAAATTTTGGTGACAACCCCTGAAGATGAACGAGACAAGCCAAACTCACCCTAAGAAATCAATAGCGGGACAACAAGATCGACATGGAAATGATTTTACCATGATGTCATGCCCGCGATTCTTCAAAAGGGCCGGCGCCGGGTGGTACGATCGGCTGAGAGCCCCTGACTCGGGAAGCGCGGTCACGTGGTCACGTGGTCGTGGACGACGTTGACCGGCGACTGCATCTTTCCTTCGCCGCACAGAGCCCACTCCTCCTTGATCTCCCCCCATTTCTCCGGCCCAATATCCCCTCCCTCCTCGTAGTTAAACTCGACCTTCTCATTCTCTACATGTACGGAAAGCATGCATGCATATATAGATGTATTAACAGGAGCAAGCAAGAAAATATATGCTGTACATGTATGTACGTGTACATACCATCTTCATCTTCTGAAGAGACCAGGGTTATTGAGCTGTTGAAGAGGAAGAGCGCAAGGATGAAGATCAGAGAAAATTGTTTCTCAAGTTTCATGGTGCTTTTTTTTTGAGAGAGAGAGAGAGAGAGATGGAGAGAGATTTGTTTCCATATATGGGTGGAGCAAGAAGATTTGGATATGAAATTTACTATGTTTAGTCAAATGCAACCTGTGCGGCAAGAAAACTGTTAATAAGGAGTGGGGGTGGCAGATATAGAATAGCTACAATTTCCTTAATAATTCTCTAACCAACTATGAAATATTGATTACCACATTCTATTATGTGATTAGATAGTTGCAATTTATTTCAATAAATAAATTTGAATCTTCCGAGCTAGCAGTACTACTTTTCCGATCATAAATATTCAAAACCATTTGATATAATATAATTAGTACTAGCTTTTACTCGTGCACGGCACTAGGCCTGTCCATCCGGGCCAGACCGGCCCGGCCCAGTCCGGAAATCCGGGCCCGGGCCGGTCAAAACCGGAGCCCGGACCCGAACCCGGGTACCCTAGGCCGGGCCGGCCCGGGTTTTTCCTTTTTTTAATTTTATTTATCAAATTTTTTTAATTTTATTTAAATTATTAAAAAACAAAAAAATTAATAAAAAATAATAATTTTATTAATCACTTAAAATGACATAACTTACAAATAAAAAATTATAAAAATAAATTCTTTATTAATAATTAATAAATTATTTACAAATTACAAGTATAAATTTATTTTGGAATTCATTGCATCACAATAGATAAGTACATCCCAACTAGTTTTTTTAAATTTCTTTTCTTTTCTTTTCTTTTTGATAAAAAAATGCTAAAAATTAGTTTAATATTATTATATTTTATATAATTATGTATTAGTATATACTTCTAAATTATTATGTAACTATATATTATATATACATATATTATATGTAAATATATTGTATATATTTATAAGTTATAACTTGAGAGAGAAAGAATCGCATAAGTAGCCGTTGCCCGTTGGGCCAATGGGGAAGAAGTAGCCGTTGTAATATACTATACTTATATATGTTTGCGGAGAAAATTGTTTGATTCATTGTGATGTTCATTACAAACTTCAGACGTTTACAACAAAAACAAAAATTAGTCTTTTTATAAGACCTTTACACAATGGAAACAAAACAAAAGTACAATTCTCTTCAAACAGCGCAGAAATCGTTTATCGGTCTTCTGCTTGCGTGAGATCTTAGCCTGTGACGGGGACGTTGATATCCGTGGACCACCGTCGATCAGATCTGATTGCTGAAAAATTGGGCAGAGCTTCGTCGATTCGCGAAGGAATCAAGAAGCCGTAGCGCTTATCTCGGCAACAGCGAGATAATTGCTCTTCTTAAGATCACCGCAACGGGGTAATCTTAAGAGACGAATACGAGAACCGCAGATCTGACGAGCTCTTCTTCTTTATGCCGACGAACTCGATCCGATCTCTCCTCCTCCTCTCTAAAATTCGTGCACATTTAATCTTCAATCCAGCAGGGCTTCGCCAACGCTCGAGAATTCCAGATCTCAAAAAATGAAGGTCCTGCGGTTGTATTTATAGGCTCCGGGGAATCCAGGCGGTTAAAACTGCATAACAGCCAAAAAATCCACTTTTAGGGTTTGAGACACCCTCGGGCGTCTCAGCGAGGCCGAGACACCCTCAGGTGTCTCGACTTAAGCCGAAACACCCTTGGGTGTCTCGGCCTTGGCGGAGACACCTTGGGGTGTCTCGGTTGGGCCGAGACACCTTGGGGTGTCTCGGTTGGGCCGAGACACCTCGGGGTGTCTTAGCTTATGCAGAGACAGTCCGTTTTGCGTGCTGTTTTTACATTCGCTGTATTTTCCTCTTCCAAACTCGGATTTACATGATTCAAGATGCGTTAGAAAACCGACGAGGAGATCTACAGGCTACCATGATTGGATCATCTGTGGAATAAATGAAACACGAAGGGTGTTTCGCCTTTTGTAAGTGACACGAGGCTCCCGATCAGTTCATATCCTCGTTATTTTGAAACTCCGTTGCTTCACGTAGTTCGTCGATTCACTTCAAGCGTTCATCGATGTCAATCCAGCTTTTGTGACTTGGATAGTAACGTTCATCGTCTTCTCTTAGCTTCGAGCTATTCGTGGAGACCTATAGGTAATTTTCGACGCCTACAGATACCCCCTCCAAAGCGTTTCAGTCTCGTTTCTTTTATAGAAGAGGCTGGAATACTTTGGATGTGATTGGTCTAGCCTTCGGTCGGCGTACAGGACCTGTAGTTAGCTTCAAGTCTTGACTCCTTCGATTTTCAGTCTATTCGATGTTTTGACGAATAGCTGAAGTTCTTCCGGCGCTACGTTTATCGTCTGGCCGTCGTCGAAGTCTCGAATCTAAAACTGATAAGTTGAGTTTGGCTCGTGTTGTTGAGTTGACTTAGAACTGACTATCTCCGTCACATTAACTTTTTCATTGCAATGCATTGATTGGCATTGACCTAGGGTTACGTGTTGACCGGCGTTGACTTTTTCATCACAACGCGTTGATTGGCGTTGACCTAGGGTTACGCGTTGACCGGCGTTGACCTAGGGTTTTGGATCATGACGCGTTGATTGGTGTTGACCTAGGGTTACGCGTTGACCGGCGTTGACCTAGGGTTTCGGATCGCACGACGTTGACTTTTTCATCGCAACGCGTTTACTGGTGTTGACCTAGGATTACGCGTTGACCGGCGTTGACCTAGGGTTTCGGATCGCCTGATGTTGACACAGTTTATACTCGTACGTTTGCTACAGTATACACAGTTTAAGCTCTTAAGGTATTGGAGCATGGCGGTCCCAAATGTTGGGGCTACAGGACCAACTATTAAAGTCGATTCATCTGTATGTGTGGATCTTATCCCGAAGTTTGTTGGATGCTCAAGTCATGAGACCAACTATTTAAGCTGATGCGTCAATAATTCGTATTTATAGAATTTTTGGTAAATTCTCAGCCATCAACGGGTTTGATAAGCCTTTACCGTCTACCGTTTGAGTCGGGCTAGCATGCAGATTGTTTAAATCCGTTTTGCACATAACGTTGTGCTAAAAGAGTTAACTCTTTTAGTGCTACGATATTGAATACGTAGACTTCGTCTTTCTCCTGTAAAAAGATTAAACAGCAACGTGTATCAGACGTAGACTTAGGATTTTTGGCAAATCTTTAACCTTCAACGGATTTGACATGCCTTTATCGGTTACCGTTTGAATCGAGCTTGCACGCGGATTGTTTAAGTCCGTTCCGCATGTGACGTTGTGCTAAGAGAGTTAACTCTCTTAGTGCTACGATATTGAATACATAGACTTCGTCTTTCTTACGGGAATAGACTACCTGGCAACACGTGTTAGGCGCTGACTTATCCCTACTTAGGCTTCGGGATAAAATTCCCCGTGCTTGTACAGCATGGATTTTGGCGTTATGAATAACAACCTTGTTCTTTTTTACGGTTAAGAACTAACCGGCAACGCGTGTTGGCATTGACTTATCCCTACTTAGGCTTTGGGATAAAATTCCCCATGCATAAAAAGGCATGGATTTTTGTTGCTACGATGCTGAATACGTAGACTCGGTCATTTTTACGGGAACGAACCACCCAGCAATGCGGGTTAAGCGCTGATTTATCCCTACTTAGGCTTCGGGATAAAATACCCCAGACTGGATTCTGGTGTCTTTTTCAATCGGTGAAAGACTAAACCGGCAACGCGTATTAGGCGTTGACTTATCCCTGCTCAGGATTCAGGATAAAATTCCCCGTGTCTGTGAGGCACAGATTTTAGAAGTTGAAAAAGTGGTGTCTTCTATTGGGGCAAAGACGAACCCGATGCGGGAGAGGAAGAATTTTATATTCTGTCTCCCAAAGCTGAAGAGGAAGAATTTTATATTCTTTCTCCAGTTGCAAAAGGAAACTCCAAGTGGGATCTCCACTTCAAGAATCTGGGAAGGCAAAACTAAGAGTGGGATCTCCACTCCGAGAATCAAAAAGATTTGGATAACCCTAACTATCGGAAGGTTTGATTATCGAACTAAATGTGGGTTTCTCGTTTATCGAGAGTGAATTGTGGTTTTGGTCTTAACTGTAGGAAGGTTTGACCGAGTGGAAGGTTTGAGACGATCCTAACTGTAGGAAGGTTTGATCGCTCTATTTGTGGGCCTCTCGTTCATTGGAGGAATCGAGAGGAGATTTTGGTTATGGTCCTAACTGTAAGAAGGTTTGACCAGGTAAACAGTGGGAGTGGGAGTACAAATCATAGTGGGAGTGTTGACTTATACGGATACATTGAAAGTTTGAGTGGATTTAACCGACAGGAATTTTGGTAGTCCCACCGTCAATTAATCTGATCGATGGGGGATTTTGCGATGGAAGACTATGATTTGTCAACAAAAGAGTGTTCGAAAATCACGGTGTTTTTTTTGTTTATCACTTTGTTTGTAATGATCAGGTTATCCCTAAGAAAATTACATGTAAAAATTCTTCCGGAAACTTCCCGTTACATGAATCATCCACCCCCAGCTTCCTTCGCGAAACTGGGTCTAACATCATACTGAGTTACATGACTAAGTTATCCTTAAGAATATTACATGTAAAAATTCTTCAGGAACTTCCTGTCAAGAGTGGGAATAGTTTAGACTCATATACCTATTGGAGTATTAAGAAGCAGTTTATACTCATATACTTGTCGGAGTGTTACCGTTCTCATTCGGCTTATCCCAACATTATGACGTCGGCTTCAACCAAGGTTTGGATGCTATTCTTTAAAGTAAAGCAAGCTTTGGTGAGATGAAGGATCCTCCTGTGGTACGCACAGTACTTCGGATCCGCAGTATTGTCAGCTTCCTCCTGATTCGTGATGGATGGCAGCTTGATCTTGTTGTTTTCGAGAAGGGTCTCGAAGATGGCTGGAACGTCTTCGTCTTTGAATTTGTACTCTTTTTGGGGCCTCGGATCCGAAGTCTTCTGCTGTCTTTGGGGCTGCTGTTGCGATGTCTGATTAACGTCAACAACTGTTGTAGGTGCGTTCCCTTCATCATGGGAAATGAGAC